TGTATATATGTTAAATATATAATTAATTTGATAAAAGATTCATAAGCTCTCGCAATTACTTGTCCTTGTTCTTTGTCTTTTTCAATCGACTCTCCCTTGAAAACATTTTATCTTCCCAGTCTGGTATAGGATATGCGCTTTATACGCTTTTCCGTAATAAAATAAACGCACATTCTCGATCTCGGACTGTCTAAACAAAAATTCGAAAAAAAAAAACAAACAAACCAACAAAAAGGTGTCTTTCTTACCGGTAAACGCTCACGAGTTGCCTCTCGTGGACGACGTCCCGCGTCCCTGCTCAGCAATTTTTCCAACTGCGCAATAATCACAGTATCCAGGGCAGAGCGGTGGTGGGGACGACGACGGTGACGACGCGGTGGGATAAGTGCGGTGAGGCACCCCGGGGACCTGTTAGCGCGATGCTACCTCGCCTCAAGTTCCTCTTCTCTCGCAGTCCTCCCAGTGCGCGTTCCCCGCAAATTCGACCACATCCGGTGACCGTTAGCCACCTTAGCTCAGTATCCTTCTTTCTCCAACTTCCGCCTTCACCTCACGCGGCCTACTCTCTGATACGGAAATGGAAAAGCGGTACGTTCCGCTCGCTCCCCAGCACGACAATAACGACTCCTCTCTATCCAAAATGGCGGACTTCGGGCCGTTGTTTATTTGTCTTCTTGCGGCTCCTCTTTACGGCACTGCCAGATCGAATTGGATTACCCTGGCCGAGTTTGTCTCGCCGTTCCGTTTCCCGCACGTCTCCACGTCAAAACTCTCAGGAACTCAAGTCCTCTCGCCGCGGGCGAGGTCCGTCTGAGGGACGTGTATGTATGTACAAACGCACCGCTACGTCTACGTGTCTCGGGAAGCACCGTATCCGTTACACTCCGCGTGCTCTCGATAATCTATTTCCTTCTTTATCGTCGTGATCGTTGCGTTAATTTCCTTTTCCGCTTTCCCGTTCCAGCTTGATCTAATCTGATTCAACCACACAAATAACAGTCACTCCGCAGTCGGAAATCAGGCTCGCGTTCTCTCCCGCATCTCTACGAGTTCTACGACACTTCTCAAATCACAAACACTGATTGGAGAATTCTGTTTGCGTCTTTATAACCTATCGCGAGGAGAGTCACTATCCCCTCCATATGTTACTGTGCGTCCGACCAATCCGCGCGAGCGTCGCTTACCTCATTCCACTTCGTACCTGCGGCGCTTGCGCCAACTTAAAGGTACAATTTCATGGTGTCGTTTGTCCCAGCGATAATGTCTCCTGCACACAGAGCACTTATGGCTTGACATCGCATGACAAAAATTGGTGCGATAACCAATCAACGTCTCGCTTACTCGGAAATAATAAGATTTATTTGCGTCGCATGTTCCAACATGCCCAATGGCTTTGGCATACCAGCGCGATGTTAGTCGCGCGTGATACACGATATCCAATGACAGTATATTTTTAGAAATATCGATAAAGCTGTACACTCATTGGTATCACGTGTGACGCGCGACAAATATCGCGCTGGTGTGCTGGGGACATTAGGGACTCCGCACAATAAAAGGAAACAGAGAATCCAGCAAACAAGAATGGATTGAAATTTTTTTCTATCCGAATGTGTATTTTAAATAGCGAATACCTTTTTTGGATTTAATTGAATTCAATTGGATTCAATTGGATGCAATTGGATTGAAAAATTGCATTTCCTATTCAAAATTTTAAATTGAACAGTAATGTTTGTTATGTGCATAGAAAAAGCTAACATTATTTTTAGATTGAAACATAGAGATGTTCCATGAAATTCTTATAAATGAATAAAAATGCATTCAAGATTGAAAAGCATTCATTTTAACATTCGTGAATCAATATTTCTGATAATCTGAATCCATTTCAATTCATTTCAATCCATTCTCGTTTGCTGAGAACAGAGAATAAAAATGTCAACCTATCAGAAATCATATATTGTGGAATACACAGTTTCTGATAGGTTGAAATTTTCTGTCTTCTGTTCCTTGTTCCTCTTATTGTGCAGAGCCCCTTACGCGCGATCCGTTGCATGAGACATAAAGAACAAAATTGTCGCATATGTAAAACGAGTGAAACGTCAATGGCCTATGTTTCTATCGAGGGTTTGATTAGAATGCAAGAACTAAGCAATTACAATCGAGTATTCCCCTGTTAGGAAGCGTTTAATGGCCTTAACCGTATGCCTTAATCTGTAAAAATTGACTAATCACAGTCGAATATTCTCCTCCCATTCGATAAGAGAATACTCAAAGATGATTGGTCATATGGTTACGGCCAATATAAATGCTCCCTTAAGCCCATTCTACAATAGCCATAAGCGTAGTTGACCAATCACAATCAAATATTCTCTTCATATTCGACTTGATTGATCAATTCTTACAACTACTTACAATTCCGCTTATGACTATTGTAGAATAGGCTTTACAGTCAAACGAGGAGAATGCTCGAGTGTAATTGGTTGGTTTTTGCATTTTGATGCAATTCGAATTTTCGGTGAAAACTAGGCCAGTGATTGACGGATTTTTCGATACGCATTATAGCTCCGGCATACCAGCGCGATGTTTATCGCGCGCGACAGATGATATCCAATGAGAATATACCTTTAGAATGAAAATAAAACTGTACACTCATTGAATATGTGTGTCGCGCGCGACGAACACCGCGCTGGTGTGTCGGAGGCATTATGGCCCGATTGCACCAATGTTACTTTGACTTTAAGCAAGGTTTAAAACTCTCTCTCTATCTCTACTAACTAACTCTCTCTACTAACTAACTCTCTGTCTCTATCTGTTTTTCGCTTTAAAACGAGATTTTCAAGTCTTATTTTAAGTCAAAGTAACATTAATGCAACCGAGTCTGTATCTACTGTACACTAAATGTGAAAAGTGGAAGCCAATCAGAACTTTCGGAAAGACAGAAGTAGACAAGCGAAATGTACTGCCTATTACTATTACTTCCGGATATTTTCGAACGCAGTCTAGGAGAGGATATCTCTATTGGCCTAGTTTACATTGTGCACTTGATACCGAGTACTAACTAGTAACTTTCTATTGAATGATCTTAATTTCGGCGATACGTATAAATATATATATGTATGTGTATTTAATTAATTATTTTGATGCATATTGTACCAGTTCAGTATATCATTCTTTGAATACATTGAATACATTCGTTGAAATTAAAATAATTTAATAGAAAGTTACTAGTTAGTATGTGTATCAAGTGCACG